ATCTCCAGTCTAAATCTGTTCCCCTCCAGCTTGAAGCCATTGCCCCTCGTCCTGTCACTTCAGGCCTTTCTAAACAGGCTCTCCCCAGCCTTCCTGTAGGCCCCCTTCAGGTACTGGAAGGCTGCTATTAGGTCTCCCCGGAGCCTCCTCTTCTCCAGGCTGAACAACCCCAGCTCCCTCAGCCTGTCCTTGTAGCAGAGGTGCTCCATCCCCCTGATCATCCTTGTGGCCCTCCTCTGGACCCTCTCCATCAGGTCCATGTCCTTCTTATATTGAGGGCTCCAGACCTGCACACAAGACTCCAGGTGAGGTCTCACCAGAGCAAAGTGGCAGAATCCCCTCTCTGGACCTGCTGGCAACGCAGCTTTTGATGCAGCCCAGGATGTGATTGGCCTTCTGGGCTACAACTGCCCACTGCCTGCTCATGTCCAGCTTCTCATCCACCCGCACCCCCAAGTCCCTTTCCTCAGGGCTGCTTTCTAGTACCTCACCCCCCAGTCTGTACTGATGGTGAGGATTGTTCCGGCCCAGGTGCAGAACCTTGCATTTGCTCTTGTTGAGCCTCATGAGGTTCACCTGGGCCCACCTCTCCAGCCTGTCCAGGTCCTTTTGGATGACATCCCATCCTTCTGATGTATCGACAACACCACACAGCTTGGTGTCGTCCACAAACTTGCTGATGGTGCCTTTAATCCCCCTGTCTATATCATTGATGAAAATGTTAAACAGTATTGGCCCCAGCACGGACCCTTGAGGGACACCACTTGTGACTGGTCTCCATCTGGACTTTGGAGGGGACTTTGGAGGCTGGGTTTAGCTCAGGGTGTGCGGTGGCTGTGCTGCTATGCCCAGGGTGGCATCACTTGTCTGCGTGGTGCTGGCCCTTTGAAGAAATCCCACCCAAGCAATCACTGGCTGCGGCCTCTCAGGCCCCACAATCCTGATAATCTCCTAAAAACGTGTGTTAAAAACTGCTACAAATGGGTCTTTACCTGCCTGAAATGAGTGGGCTCCCTAAAGCACCCCCGGAGCTCTGGTCTATTTCTAGGAGGTCTCGACTCATTTGAAAGTCACTTATCAATGAGGCAAATATTCCCCTTTTGGGTAAAATTGTGGGGGTTATTTTAGTGCCTGCCAGGGGCCGGTTCCTGTGAAACGGGTTGGAACAGCCCTGGGAAGTGGCCCAGGGGCTGGAGCCAGGCAAAACCCGGGAGAAAATGCTGAAGGAGGGGAAGCAGAAGAGGAGGAGGGTGCAGGTGGAGTGTTTAGTTACAGGTTTAACATCTAACACTTGCTCTTTGGTTCTTGCTGTCCCCAGCTCCTGTCCGCTCCTTTGCAGAGCTCCAGAAAGCTGGGGAGAGTAACATTTTTTGATTTGATGATAGCAATTATAGACGTCTTAGGAAAAAACTAACATTGTTTCAGTTGCGTTTCTTCTTGCCCAGGGCAGTCTCCTTACCTGTCACTTCTCTGTCCTTGTGTCCAGGTTATGGAGACAGAGAGGATGATTTATCTGGTGACGGAGTACGCCAGCGGAGGGGAAATATTTGGTAAGTACCTTTATTGCCTCCTTTAATCAGATAATGCACTCGGTCAACTCCAGTAAACTGAAAATAGCTGCCAGACTCTCGTTTCAGCGCAGAGACGCCCTTCAGCCAAAGAACTTTCCATAAAGAAATAAATGGTAGCAACTTGATGGAAAAATAGCTCCCGTAACCTCTTTCTTCTTTGGGTTTCGCTGACAGGTGGTGCTGCTCCTCTTCTGCGCTGCCTTTGGGATCAGAGATGTTGGAAATAGTCACCCGGGTGGATTTTAAAGCGTTGCCGGATACTTTGCTTCCCAGGAAGTTCTAGGAAACTTGCTGCCCGTAGTGGAAATGCTGGTGTTTGGTAGCAGCTTTCAAAGGAACAGGCAGTCCTGCGGTTCTCTTGTTATTTTGTTCTCAAACCCATGTATTTTCTTATCTTTGTGATGTCTGATGTTATCTCAGGGGGCATTAGTTACATCCCCGTTAGACTCCGCTGTCTGCCAGCAGCGCTTTGGCTGCGCTTTCTGACCACGGGAGCTATTCTTTAGAGGAAAAAAAAGGATCTGCAGCACAATTGCACCAACTGTTGGCTCATTTATTAATTTGTTTTATTGCCATGACCAACACAAAAGCATGTAGAAATAGAAAGTCACTTACAGGCTGGAGTTTCGTGACAGAGTCAGGAGTTTACAAGGTTGGTCTTCACCAGCTCGACCACCACGAGCCTCGGAGAAGGGGGAAAATCCTTCGTGCTTGAAGTGAGCGGGCTTAAATCTGCTTCCAGGAGGTGTCCTTGTGAGGTCAGGGACATACAGCCTGTCACCTACGTGGGAACACGCTCCTTTCTGTCCCCTGAACTCATTGCAGAAGATTTGCTTTGGGTGTCAGAGCCTCTGGCTTTGCTGGCAGAGAGGCTGAGTTGAGACACTCTTAGTGAAGCAAGAGAAGCCCCAAATTAAGGAAAATAAGATGAGTTGAGCAGAATAATGCTGGTTTTCAGTAACTATAATCTGCTGTCAGTTCCTCAGTACCTTTGTGGATGGTCATCGTGCCAAAGGACATTGTCCATGTCCTTTGCCTCTGAGGAGGTAAGAAGCAGGAGGGAGCTGGTTTTTGGAATGTGTGGATCACCCAGGGAAAGCCCGAGTTCCTCCAGCCCAGTCTTCCCATTGCTTCCTCAAACAGGAGTCGTGGTGCTGGCTGCTCAGCAGCTCTGAAGGCCTGTGAAGTGCCTCGTGCAGGGAGCTGTACCTGCAGCAGCATCCCTTGGATGTGCCTCAGAGTCCACTTGCGTGTGGATCACCGCAAAAAAGGATAAATCGCTTCTTACTTCTTCTCCCTCTTCTGTGGAATTTGGCAGAGACGGGCTCATCTTTTTTTAAATCCAGAACTACGTGCAAGCTCATAGACAAACTTGGACTGAATTCTCTTGGTTACAAAAATAGCCTTCTGCACGAGTCGAAGTGAAAATCTAATTGCTTTCTGCTTTAGTCCGTGCTGTAGTAAACGCAGCTCATTAGCATGGCTAATTTCCATTAGGCTGCCCGGTGTTTTATCCCCGTGGATTGCTGGGACCAGCCAGGGCTGGCGTAGCCCTGACGTTTCTCCAGGCTGAAGCTGGGAAGCTGAGCATTTTCAGGGGCTGCACAAAGCTCTGGATGCTCTGGCCATCGGAGCAGAGAGGGGGAAACTAAAATCTCAGCTTTTTGTAATGCGGGTTTCCTGAGGAGCCATAACGACTTTGTTCTGAGAGCGGAAGCAATTAACGGGGAGGAAGCAGCAGCTCGATTGGGGCAGGTTTCCCTGCCAGCCCCACATCTCCCACTCTGAGGAATCTCACGTCCTCCCACCGCGGAGAGAAGATCCACGATGGGCTCTTCCCTTGGAAAATGGGAGTGACAGCATAACGCCTCTGGGAACTGCAAGGTTTTGTCAGGAGCAAATCTCAGTTCTGTCCCTCGATGCTTTAAAGAGTCTTTCAAAGGCTTAAGCCAAACTGTACGGCTGTAAATATTCCATAGGGTAGAAATTAGGGTAGAGGGTGGAATTTTTGGCTGAAAGAGTGGAAGTTTCTCTAAACAGCCACAGTTTCAGCCAGTCAGCGTCGGGCGCTCGTCGGTCCTGTCCCCTGTTGGTCTCAGCCCTGCAGACTCTCCTGGGGGAGCACCTGGGAGGGCTTTAAACCTGGTTATCTCATTTCCAGCAAAGGCTGGTGGCCCCTTCGGTGGCCGCGCTGTGCCGTAAGCGTGTCCCGTTCCCCCCTTACTGGAAGTGTTTTGGTCACAGCCTTTGTTTGCGCAGCGGGGATCGCGGGGAGACCGCCTTTCGCCCTGGGCTCAAGCAGCAAAATGTAAATTGTTATTTTTGTCCCTGAGCATGGTGTGCGTGTGGTTGGACATTCTGAACAAATGAATGTCTGCGTTTAAACATAGGGTGCTCTTTGTTCCAGGTCCCTCCACTGTCCTTCCCTTGAGGTCAGACAGAACGTAGTCTAACAGTCTGGTTTGATTTCAGCTGTTTACGGTGAATACTGTAAATAATCTGCCCTTCTCACTGACAAGAACACGGGGACTCGGTTGAGGAACAAACATTCTCAGAAAACTTGACCAAATTATTGCCTGGTTGTCGTGGTTGGCACGTCTGGTCTCTGCCCTGTCTCCTGCCGGCTTCTCCTGAGCATCAGCTGGGACAGACACCTCGTCGGGGCACTGGGCTCTAGAAGGTCAGGCTGCTTTGGACATCACGAGGGCACCAAACGCGCTGGAAATGTGACTTCATCCGCCCCCACGGAGGAGGTGTGAAGCTTGAGCAGGGTTTGCTTTCCAGACAGAGCAACTTAAAAGTAGGAGGAGTCTGGCCAGAGCCGAAAGGTGGAAACTTGTGTATCGGTGCTGGATCTTCACCAGAAGATGCTGTTTCTTCAAACAGGACTTTACTGGTTTCTTTTTTAATGCGGAGAAGCAGCATCAGGTGCTTTGTGCAAGTGCAGAGAACAGCGAGTGATGTTTTTAAGGGCTGTGAGATGAAATTGTGTGTTCCTTCCTCTCTGGCAAAGACTCAAAGGAGCAGCGCCGTTGGCCTCTTCAGCTCCCCAAGAGCGCGCCGACGTCTGTGCGACCCAGCGGCCAGTCTTCTGCTCTTCTTCTGGACTGGGAGCACTGGGGATGAGTGGGCTGGCTCCCGGCTGAACGTTGGGGTCATCTCTGTAACCTCCGCCGCGTGAGAGGTTCACGCAGACGAAGCCTGCAATGGTTAATTTTGGCTCCCAGTTGCCCTGGGTGGTATGTGAAGTATTCTGTGGCCTCATTGTTCCCTCCTTCCTCTGGAGCTCCTGCAGCGGTGGCCGAGCGCGGCGGCGCCTACGTGCGGGGCTCGGGGACCCGCCTCCGCTGGCATTTCGGCCTGAAAAAGGGAAATTTCACGCCTAACCTAAAAAGATGTATTTGCAGCCCACACGGGAGCCACTAATGAAAGGGGCAGCAGAGGTTTTGGTGTGAGGTGTGCGGGACCAAACGGCCTGTGTCCCTGTCCCAGCTCGGGGACAGGCGAACTGCTTTGGGCAAAAAGATACTTAGATACATAAAACATGTAGCAAAAATACACCTTGTAGAAAGACTCTGCTGCAGCAGCCGGGTTTGATTTCTTCCCTGCGGGAGAACCTCTTAAAATATTTCCCAAAATGTTGGGAGATTGGAGCCTTGCACTTTGTTTTAGGAGAACTTGCTGCTCCCAGATTTGAGCGGACAAAAAGACCTCGAGTGGTTCAGGAGCGGAGCCACATCACTGTGATAATTCAGAGCAGGCCATTGCTTAACTCTCCCTGTCCCTCTCCTGACTCTTTAGGGTAATAAATTTATTTGCAAATGACTTAATGAAATCCGATGGGACTGTTTGAGACAGTAAATCTTGCTTTTCCCAGCAAGTGGATCGAGGGGCGTATGGGGATCAGAGCTGGATTTCCTTCCCCAGCCCTGGGTCACGTTGGCTCCTGGAATGAGTTTGTGGGATGAATAAAACGTAATTGACAGGTTCCTTGCAAAACAACCTGGCTGTGTTGCACAACAGGAGTGTCAAAGGCAGAGGAGGAGGCTGCTGCGCAGTCGGAAGGCAGCAGAACTGCTTTGATGGAGCTTGGTAATTAGTATTTACTGTGAGTCAATTATGTCGCAGGTATTTTAATTAATGGGTGACTGGGAAAAAATACAACCACCTGATGAGAAACCTTCAGAAGTGATTTATTTTTATGATTTTCAAGAACAGATCTATCGAGCTCTCCGGCTTAAGGGAGGTTCTGGAGTGAAATGAACCACTTCAGCCTGGGTTTGGCCAGAAGTCCTCTGAGGCCACGCCGATGGCCCAGCTGAGAAGCAGCAGCTCCTTGAAATGGGCAAGGAGATAAGGAGCTCCTGGGGTTTGGTGGCTGGTGCCTCTGCTGGCCCACTCTGTGGCCCACGCTGGAGGGGAGAGGGCTTGGGCAAACCTCTCCAAAACTCTTCCCATGAGCTGGGGAAACTGGGGAGCCCTCCTGGTCCCCTGGGTGGTCACTGGGGGCTCTCCAGGAGGCTTCTCATCTTCCTCCTGTATTTTTGTAGCTCTGTCCTCAACTCCATAATCTTGCAAACGGCTGTTCCGACCCTTATCGAGCCACGTCAGGGAGGGCACGTGGCTGTGAACCCGTCAGCTCTCCTCTAAATAGAGGAAAGTTTGTCATTTTAAAGTCTTTCCCTTGGAGGGAGCCCGGGTGAGGGCTGGGGTGGCAGCGCCGTGCCCCAGCCCCATCCCACGTGGCTTCAGTGGTGCCCCTGTCTGCTCCTGGAACCTGGAGAACATGCTGGTGCCCACGTCGTTCCCCATCTCTTCTCGCAAAACCCCTCTCTGGGGTTCACAAAGTGGGAATAACACCTTGTTCTTCGCTTTGTTCCTCACAGATCACCTGGTGGCCCACGGCCGCATGGCCGAGAAGGAGGCCCGGAGGAAGTTCAAGCAGATCGTGGCTGCTGTCAACTTCTGTCACTGTCGTAACATCGTCCACAGAGATCTGAAGGCAGAAAACCTGCTTCTGGATGCGAACCTGAACATCAAAATAGCAGGTGAGCCGGGACGAGCAGCGTGGGAGGAAGGCAGCTGCTTTCAGGAGTTAATAAATGTAGGCATTGGCTGCTTCCAGGTATTCAGGGAGAAGGAAACGCAGTGCAGCTAAAGGAAGCTTTGGATTTCTGCGTGGCCTGCTGCCCGGAGCCTGGGCTGCCAGGTTCTAGCCAGGAGATTTATATATCCCTTTGAGTAGTGCAAAATAAGAAATAAAAAACCCGGGGTTTGGCTTCCTAGGCAGATACGGAGCTGTAGATACCGCAGAGTTCCAATACACCGGGTAATGAGGGAGACTAATATTTAAAAAAGACCTTGTTTTAAGTCCTGTTTAGCACTTCTGTGCAGCAGGTCAGACTGGGGGAGAGAGGAAGAAGGGAAAAGTGGGGCTGGAAGAGAGCTTGGCAGAGCAGCACGAGGGAAGCCCCAGCCCCACGTGTGAGCCGGGGGCTGAGCCCGGTGACGCGCTGCCTGCGCCCGCCTGGATTTAGCTCTCTGGGATTATGGAGCAACCGATTGAAACAAGAGGATTTAATATCACCCTGGTCATGGCCCTTCGTGTGCTTTCCCACTGGAAGAGCTCACACTTACCATTTAATTCTCCAGAGCCTAATGCAGAGCAGTTTTGGAAAGCGCTTTGTTGCCCCCTCTCTTAATAGGCTTCCTTGGAGAGCCTGTCAGCTTTGACAAGGATTTAGAACTTGTTATTAAATGAGAAAAAGTGCTTAGGGCTACAAAACTTCTCAGTCAGGGAGCAATTTTAATACTATTAGTTGTGGATGCTCTTCTGGCCTGATAGCATCTTGGAGGGAGAAAACAGTCTTGTTTGTCATTCATGTTACTGTTCTCTTCTGTCCCGTCCGTCGGTGTTAAGTTAGAGTTTATCACTTGATTTGCAGTAAAAAAGATGAGTAATTTCTTAGGTTTCTCACATCCTCACTCGTGAGGAGGGGGTGGGGAGGGAATGGAAAGGAGTGAAGAATTTCTATGAAACTTCCTCTGGACAGTTAATAGCATAAAGCATTTCTTGCTGCCCTTTGGGGCAGGGACAGTAACCTGTTGGGGGAGCAGCAGGTGAGTAGGAGGCTGATGAGGTTTGGGTTTTTGGGGGTGTTCCCATGTGCTAAGAGAACCTAGGGTGTTTGGTGGCCACCCGAAAGGCAGGGTAGCCCACACTTCCCAGCACTGTGCTATATGCAGGCACAAGAGAAACTCTGCCAAGGTGGGGGAAAAGGCTGGGTTTTGCCCCAGCCCGTGGGTAACCCCCGCGTGGGCCAGTGGAAGGAGCTGGTGGCAAGTGACGGGGCGGACACAAGAAATGCTGCTCAGGAGGTCGCCACGAGCAGCACTTTCTGGTGTCAGCTTTATACAAGCAGATGCACTAGTGATTTGAGGCCATCTTGTGTTCACGGGGTAAAATCCGATCCCTGTGCGGGGGGGGAGGGTGCCCAGCAAATGAAAAGAAAGAAAGAAAAAAACCCAAAGCCACCAAACTTCAAAACTTACTCGGGTAGAAACTGGAATAGGGCTGGATTTCCAGCAGAAATGTCCACCTGAGGGTGCTGACAAGCTCTCTGCATGTCTGCAAATTGTGGAAACTTTTTTTTTTTTAACCTAAGGGAGTTGGAAACTCTTTTCCTTCCAGATCTCTGCTCCCAGAATGGACTCTAGGAGACAGTTCCCTCCCTGGTGGTAGCGGTGTTTTGCTTGGCAGGACGACGTGGTAGCGATTTGCAGAGTAGCCTGGAAAAGCTGATTTATGCTATAGGATTTTCCAAGTGTTTTGTCCCTATAACTCATCGGTTACAGCTGGACACCAGCTCTTCCATTGTTTCAAGAGCAAAAAGAGAAGTGAAGCCTTCCCTGCTGAACCCGGGCTGGGGGCTAACTCAGATCTCTTCAATAACCCATGGAATGGCTGTGGAGCTTCCACCCATGGATGCTTTTTCTCCAGCGTGCCCTGAGTCAGTAGCTGCTGGCACCGTGCTCCCGGGCAGAGAGTTCAGCCAGGAGCTGGGATTATTGCTGAACACCCCGCATGGGGTTTTGGGGAGGAATCCCAGCCTTGCACTGCTTTGTGTTCCTCTGCAGGAGCCTGCTCCCTCTTCTGAGGGTGTAAGTCCCGAGTGCAGGTACTGCAGCAGCTCCCTCAAGCTCTGCTCTGGGGAACCGTGGGGGACTGGGCCCTCTTTTGTAGGACAGAGATGCTTCTTGGAGGTATTTCCCTCTGTCACATCATCGTGACTCTTACCTTGCCCTTTCAAAATGCCCTTTTCCCTCCGCATCTGGTTGTGGCACGAGACCCACTTGCTCCCTGGGGATTGGGATTTAGAGGTCTGTCCTTGGGCTGGGGTGACTTGTCGTAGTTTTTAAGGAAGTTTATTTAAGTCACTAGTTTGTTTTGTTTGTTTTTCGATTTTTGTTTTGTTGCTTTGGCATTTTCCAGTCCTCTCCCTTAACTTTTTTGGGGGGTTTTTCAAATGCCTGCTCTTGTCACCAGCCTTGTCCTCGGCTCTTGGGGCACAGGTGGGTTCTGGAAGCTGCTTCCAGCCTGTGAACAGCGTGTTGGACGAGACGGAGCCAAGCAGTGTCTCACCTGGAGCCTGGAAATTGCTGGCCAGGGCAGCAGCTCTCCCCAGGGAGAGGGTCTCCAGCTGTGGGGTGACCACAGGAGCTGCTGTTGAACTCCAACACGCTCGCAGTGTCTCTGCCCTGGCAGCCCAGCTCTCGGGGAGCTGCTCTCTGTGCCCACCTCCTTCCACTCCCAAAGAGCTGGGCTAATTCCAGCCCCTGTGAGAGAGGGGTAGGGTTTCACAGCCACCCAATCTCCGGCAGGTGGGAGGAAGCGGAGAAGGTTGTGGGAGGCAGGTGGCCGTCGGGTGGCCGTGGTGGCCGTCGGGTGGCCGTGGTGGCCGCCAGCTGGCACGGCAGGGCTTGGCCCCCGCTGCCGCCCGCTTGCCAGGCTGCCCTCCAGCAGGGCTCGGCCGCGTGGCCGGTTAGTGGCCAGTCCCCCTCACAGGGAACACCTCCATCCTCTGGGCCGGGCTGCAGGGGGCAATATTCACCGCTTCCAAAACATGAGGTGGATCCCAAAATGCTGCACGGCCCACCTCAGCACACAGCGGGACACAACAAGTGACTAAACCAGAGTAATTTCCTCAAAATATGTGAAATATCAAAATTCCAGTGTGTTCTTACACAATCAAAAGGAGTTTACACCCAAATGTGAGTACAAATGCTCTGGTTTAGGAGATGGAAATGCCTTTAGGGCTGCTCTGGTGGCCGTAACTCAGACACTTGTTACCCAGCGCGCTCTGAAGGTGGGACAGAACAGCCCAAAGGTTTGCCAGGTGGAAAAGACAGTTGTGCAGCTGAGTCCGATTGCCCTGGAATAGCCCTCCAAGGGCTGGCTGCTCCTCTGTTTTGGAAGTTCAGATGACTTCATTTCCAGCTGGAAAAACCCAAAGGGCATCTTGCTGCCTTGTTCAGGTGCTTTTGAAGAACACTTCCATCTCTGGGCTGGGTCTGGAGGTAGGGTCTGAGCAGCGTGGCCTGCACTCAGGTGTTCCTGCAGGACCAGGCCACGCTGGGTGTTCCTCACCAGCAGGAACCGTCTCTGCGTTGGGCGTTTGCCCATGAGGAGGGCTGGGGAGAAGGAAATTTGGCTGCTCCCCCCTGGAGCTGAGCCCCCAGCAGCTGTGGGAAGGAGGAGAGGAGTCACCTGGAAGCAGGTCGTGGAGAATCCTGGAAGGAAGGACGTGATGGCGACCAGTTAGTGTGTTGGCTGGGGGTGTTGGCCATCACTGGCCGTGCTGGTGGCTCGGTCTGGGCACTTCCAAAGGGGCTTTTGTCTAAAAGACAGCAATCATTGTCCTTTCACCGGGGTGACACCGAATGTGTTAGGGCAAACCTGCAGTTTTATACGATTTAGGAAAACAAACCTTTCCTTGGCATGAACGTGTGCCAGTGTCCTTGTCTTTTAAAGCCTGACTGTAAGGAAAAATAAGCAGATAGAAACAAAAATGAATTTTCAAGACAAATGACATCTATTTCAAGAAATGGAAAAACTTTTGTGCTTTTGGATCTCAAATATTCTTTGCCATTTGTATATGAGTATTAAAACCTGCATTTCCAGTGGGATTCTTGCATGGCACTGGGCTGTCGTGTCGCTGACAGGGCAGCACTCAGCCATGCCTTATCCCGGATACACTCCACTTCTGACCAGGGATGGAGTCCAAATTAATCTTAAGCTCTTTAGGAGAGATTTTTCCTTTCTGCAGCTGAAGTGTCTGCTTCCCCCACGCTGTGGTTTTGGTTGAATCAGAGTTTGCAGACGGAGTGTTTCTGGCCCTGCGTGTTTCTCCCAGTGTTTCTCTGGCGAGAGGAGCTCCAAATGTCACCGCCGATGTCCTCGCTGCCCTGGGTCCCGTCCGAGCGCATTAGTGTCACTCCCCCTCCTGCTGCCACCCTCCTGGCAGCAACACGGGCACGGGGGCTCGCAGACACCCTTTGTGGCACAGAGCCACTCCGAGGGCACCCCCTTCGCAGGACCCCCTCTTACTGTATATTGGTTTTCTTCAGTTGAGGCAAAAAAGAACAAGTGATTAATGTGGATTCCTTCTTTTTTTTAAGAAAAAGCTTGCTTCTCGTGAACCCAGACTTCCATTTTTTTTCCTCTCTTTCCGGTACAAGCCCCAGGTGTGTGCCAGGCAGGGGGGCAGGTTAATTAGCAGAGAATCCCATTTGTGCCCACGTAAGCTGGCGCTCGACTGCCCATAAGGTCAAGACCTTCCTTTGAATTTCTCTTGGAGAATTCGTTAGTTGCTGGTGGTGAATGATTTGGCTGGGTTTGTAGAGCTGCCCACCGTAACCAAAGCTTCCAACTTCTGTAGTGCTTTCTGGAAAATCAGCATTTCCCATTCTTTGTCCCTGTCCTGCCTTCTGTCCTTCCTGCTGCCCTGGTCTTAACGGAGTTGTGACACTTGGCATCGGGGAAGCCTGAAGGTTGGAAATGAGCACAAAAGATTTGCCTGGGGTTTCTGGAATATGAAGTGGAAGCCTCTTTCCAAACCATCCACCCGTCTCGCAGCAACCCTCCTTGATCTGATCCTGGGGGATTGACTCCCACGTGGAAATGACGTTGCTGAAGAGCCAAGAGGAAACTCTTGGAAAGATCTTGGCGTTCAGCAAACGACTTAAATGCCGTTTGTTTGGGCCAGGTGAAGTGGATCGTGTTCCTCTGATGGCTTCTCTTTGTTCTTTCAGATTTTGGCTTCAGCAACATCTTCACGCCTGGTCAGCTGCTGAAAACCTGGTGCGGGAGCCCTCCCTACGCCGCTCCCGAGCTCTTTGAGGGAAAGGAGTACGATGGGCCAAAGGTTGACATCTGGGTATGCCACGAACACCTTTCTCTTTTACCTTGATCTCATTTTTTGCTCTGTTGCTTCCTAAATACTTAGTATGTGTCTTGGAGAAAACCCTGATGTGGTAAAACATGCTTTTCGAAGAAAAGCTTGTTAAATTTAATTCTGGCTCCTAAGTCCCGTGTTTTCTTTCCTGGGAGGCACGCTGTCAGAAATATGAGTTGCCCAGAAACTCCCAAAAATGCAGTTAGCTTCCTTGCTGTTGCGTGGCAGAGCACGTGCTGCCGTCAGGCTCGATCGGGCAGAGCTGAAAGAGGAGGAAACTTCAAGTTTTGCTCCAGGAGGGTTTGCAGGGACCCGGGGACGTTCCCCTTATTGTGCTCTGCCCCACGGTGCCAGCTGGGCCACCCGCTGTCCTGCCTTGGCTCCTCCCAAGGGTCCCAGCTCTGCCACTTCCTTTTTCCTCTTTATTCTGATTTTATTCTGTTTGACCGGCGCTGTGTCCGCAGAGTCTCGGCGTGGTGCTGTACGTGCTGGTGTGCGGCGCCCTGCCCTTCGACGGGAGCACGCTGCAGAACCTGCGCGCCCGGGTGCTCAGCGGCAAGTTCCGCATCCCCTTCTTCATGTCCACAGGTAAGGAGGGCGCGCGCCGCCTCCTCCGCTCACGGGTTCTTTGTAGCACTTAAATTTTAGTATCCGAGTGGGTTTCTGTGCCGGGGAGCTTTGTGCAGGGTGGTTTGTAACCTCAGCTCAAGTGAGTTCTGACTCTAGAATTTAGAAACCGAAAGGCCCTTATTTAGAATCTCGGCTTTCACGTATCTAACCATGCAAACTATAGCAAAATGTCAGCAAAGATATATACTCTTCCTAAATTTGGGGAACTGTGAAAGCTAAAATTGGAAGAGCGCTTTAGGAATCCGGAGGCTTTCACTGGACCTGTTTTAGACAAGAAGCTTTTTCCAGCATTATGGCACACGGATTTCCAGCAATAGCCCCACTGGAGATGAATGTCTGTGACCTGTTTCTGCAAAAACGCTTCTGACTGCTTGAGTAATAAATCTTGTTTCTGAAAAGCGCGATTAATTCTCGGATAAAAGCAGCTTCACTTAAGAACGAGTCACCTGTAGCTTCTCGGTTGCCTGCTGGCGGATTAAGGAATAATTTTGCCTGGGCTGTGTGGAGTTTGCTCACCTCCTGCCACGGGAAGAGCTTCTCTTCGTACAGAAAACACTTGCTAAAACCCGGGGTGTTTCTAACACAGCTCAGATGCCACCCCAGATGGGGGGAGCCTCTGCTGCCCCCCACCATGGCAGCACACATGGGACACCATGGAGAACTCATCCCCAGGGAGCTGGTGCTGGGGGGGAGTGCTCAGAGGGTACTTTGCCCTTCCACCTCCCCAAAGCCAGTCCTGCCCGAGGTGGGGAGGGACAGAGTGACAGCGTGCCACCTGGGGGCTCTGGCAGACAGCACGGGGGCTGGTGGCCCAGGTGGCTTCCCCCCTTCCCAGCTGGGCACATCCAGTGTCTGCAGCCCAGGGGCACACAGTGGGCACCAGCAGGGTGGGATGTGCAGGAGGAGCAGCACTCTTTTTCCTATGTATGACCTGAGAACCGCATTGCTTTGAAAGAAAAAGCTGCTTTTTGTCTGTGGAGCGCGAGGCGGCTCCTGCAGACGCCGTGTGTCCCCCCCCGGGGGTTCCTCAGCCCCTCTCTTCCCCGGCAGAATGTGAACATCTCATCCGGCACATGCTGGTCCTGGACCCCAGCAAGAGGCTCTCCATGGAGCAGATCTGCAAACACAAGTGGATGAAGCTCGGGGAGGCTGACGCCGAGTTCGACAGGGTGAGGAGCCGAAGGGAAGGGGTCGGGGCTGCTCGGCGTGTGCCAGGGCTGCTCGGTGTGTGCCGGGCTGCGGACGGGCTCCGGGCACGTCGGGCTGCGATGTCGGCTTCAGCCTTCTGAGAACTCCCTCTCTGAGCTCTGGTGTGCTGCCTGTCCACTTTCTCTCTCCCCTGCTCTCACTTTCCTCGTCTGCATGTATTTTTGGGTCTCTCCCCTTGGTGTTGGGAGCCCGAGGCGCTGGGTTGGGAATGGCTGTGCCATCAGCCGTCAAAGCCGGTGGCAGCCGGAGCCTGGCACACGGGTTGTCGGTGGCGCCGTGACTCGTGGCTGCGGGACGGCGGCGCTGAGGGCTCTGTCTGCTCCTGCAGCTCATCGCCGAGTGCCAGCACCTGAAGACAGAGAGGCAGATGGAGCCGCTGAACGAGGACGTGCTGCTGGCCATGGCCGACATGGGGCTGGACAAGGAGCGCACCATCCAGGTACCGCAGCGCAGCGGACGCTCGTGTCCTGCCTGTTCCCCTGGGAGGTGAAACGGCCACATTTGTGGCTTGTCACCTCTGGTAACTGGGCAACCACAGCACAGGATGGAGTGTGATTTGTTGGCTGCTGCAGAAAGAACTGACCGCTTCTTCCTTTTCCTCTTGCAGTCGTTAAGAGCCGACGCTTACGATCACTACAGCGCAATCTACAGCCTGCTCTGCGACCGCCTCAAGAGGCACAAGAACCTGCGCATCGCGGCGTCTCCCAGCATCCCACGCACCATGACCTTCCCCACCTCTGCCAACATCCAGGTAGATCTCGCCTGCGGTGTCCTTCCAGCCCCGGGAGGCTGGTCCCTTCCCCTTCTGGGTGTCCTCGTCCTGGCAGGAGTGTCAGAACGTTCCTGGCCTGAGAGCTCTGTGTATTTAGGGTGCCGTAATCCTGAGATCAGGGACGCTCTGTTCGCTGGCTGTGGATTTAGCAGATCCCCTTCAGACAAAGCCTTGTGTCGGCTTAACGACAGAGGAGAAGGCAGAGCAGGGGCTCCTGGCAGAGTTTACAGAGCGGGATGCTGCACGGTGCTGCTTCCTCAGCTTGTGGGGCTGCCCAAGAAATGAGTGTTTGCTTTAGGAGAGGCCAGGTCCTAAGGGAAGCAGAAGAGATGGTGGCCCTGCCCGAGCAGGAGGGAGCAGGGGAAACGAGGCGACCCCTTGAGAATTAAGAGTAAACAGCTCTTCCCTGGCTCTAGGGTAGCCTCCCTGCTCCCAGGGGTTGTTAGAGGTGCTGGCTTCCTGCCTTCTGATTGTGGTCTCTCTGCTCAGCAGACGGAACAGACGGGCAACACCATGAGCATCAACGTGCCACAAGTCCAGCTCATCAACCCTGAGAACCAGATTGTGGAGGTGAGCTGCAGCCCCTGCCAGTTCCTTTCCCTCCGCTCGACCCTCGTGCTGTATTTCAACGGCTCCAATCTTCTCTCCTGCCCAGACCGACGGAACCATGAACTTGGACAGTGACGAAGGGGAGGAGCCGTCGCCCGAAGCTCTGGTCCGTTACCTCTCCATGAGGAGGCACACAGTCGGAGTGGCCGACCCACGGTAAGGGCAGGACTAACACCCTGATGGAGGGTTAAGGGAACCAAAAGATTCACTCCTGACACGTGGCTTTGGTCCTTCTGAGATGTCCCAGATTTATTCACGCGCTGCATTGGCAGATGAGAGGCTGATGCCTTAAGGGGACTCCTGGGCTCCATGATAGGAGAGTTGAGACCTTTTGGATGGGCAATGGTCTCTGGTTTCTGGGCTGGCGTGCCCCTCAGTCCCAGGGCTCTGCTTCACTCCTTGCTGCTGTCAGACCTCTGGTTTTCTGCTCCTGCTCCTCAGGGGCTTGGAGTTATTTCTGCAAACTTTGCTAGGTGGAGAAAGAAATTCAAGGTGTTTCTTGAGCAAAAAGCATTCTTTTAAACGTCCATTGCACAGTTTGGGTAGTATTTCAGCTGAGGATGAGGATGAGATGGTCTCCTCCTCCTCTTCAGGATTAGCTGTGTGTAAGCCACTGTGGTGGTCACTGGGGTGGGAGCCAGTTTGTCACCAAAGCTGCGCTGCTGTCATGTCCTGGGTGAAGTTCCTGTCATAAATGTAAAGAGCTAGTTCTGGCAAATCTCAGCTTGGAGGGGCCAAAGGGACAAACGAAACCCAGAGAGTAGCTTCGTTGCTCTCAGTGACCACCTTCCAGAGCACTGAGAAGCATTTTTGTGAGGGGAAGCTGGGTGCCCTGGGCCTGTGGGTGATTCTCTTCGTGCCGTTGCTAATTCCCCCTCTATAACTGGTTGCACAGGACGGAAGTCATGGAAGACCTGCAGAAGCTGCTGCCTGGCTTCCCCCGTGTCACCCCTCAGGCTCCCTTCCTGCAGGTGACCCCCAATGTGAACTTCATGCACAACGTGCTGCCTCGGCAGAACCTGCAGCCCACGGGGCAGCTGGAGTACAAGGTACGGGGCGATGCGCGTGCTCCCTGCGCCCTCCCTGCCCCGACACCACCCGGGGGGGTCTGTGCTCACACTTGCTCCATTCCCCCCTTCCTTGGGCTCCATCAGCTCCAAGACTCTTGCTGTCTCTTTAGGTGGGATTCTAGTTGGTTGTTTAAAAAGCTGAAGGGGGAAAGAACACTGCAGTGTAAAATTGATGAATGGGCTGGGGAGAAATGGGACTGCACCTCCTGGCAGTTAGAGCAGAGTGCGGGGAAACGGGGAGTTTGGGGAGCTTGGGGATGTCGGTGACATTCCTTCATCCTTCGAGGCTTGTCTTCTCCCATTCCGGTGTGTGGGTCTGGACCCGGGGGCTCGGGTAGTGGGAGGCTCTGGGAGAGGAGGGGGTGGGTAACCACACTCTGTGCCCCCAGGAGCAGTCCCTGCTGCAGCCCCCCACGCTGCAGCTGCTGAACGGCATGGGCCCCCTGGGCCGCAGGGCGTCGGATGGCGGAGCCAACATCCAGCTCCACGCGCAGCAGCTGCTCAAACGTCCTCGAGGGCCGTCTCCGCTCGTCACTATGACGCCAGTAAGTAGCAAAAGGCAAGAGGAGAAGGGGAGGTGTGCTTATAAATATCTCCTCCCGCAGGCAGAGGGGGCTGCCTCCGGGCTGGAGCAGGCAGAGCTCACTCTGCAGCGCTCTGGAAGCACGGCAGGGGCTGTGCCCGCTCGCTTCCAGGGCTTCCCCCTCTCCATCCCCTCTGCTGTGAGCTCTCCTGTAGCTACAGCTGAGATGCCTCCTCCCTGGAAGTGGCAAAGTGTTTGTCAAATGTATTTAATGGTTGCTGTTCTTCTCCTGTGCTGATCTAACAGAGGAAACTGAAATGTCCATCTTGGGCGTTAATGCACGTTCTTTCCTCCTCGCTGCATCCGCACCGGTGCGTTGTCCTGGCAGCACCACAAGCAGCAGCAGCAGCCTTGGACAGGCAGTTTGGACTGGGGGAGGAATGCTGGAAGGGGTTGTCGGCCCAGTGTCCTCTGTGCTGCAGAGGAGCTGACACAGCCCCTCCTGAGAGCTTGTTTGGGAAGGGCAGGTGTCCCCTGTGGACAGGAACCCATGGCTTCTCTTCTCTCGGCAGGCTGTCCCAGCGGTCACCCCTGTGGACGAGGAGAGCTCCGACGGGGAGCCGGATCAGGAAGCTGTGCAGAGGTAACTCCCCCTCCCTTAACGTTTGCCCTTTCCGCCTCCGAGAGGCTCACCCTGTGGGGCTCCACAGCTCAACTCACACACAGCAACCTCATCGCAGGCACCGGTGTTGATTGCAGCGGAGGCTCAACATTTCTCTTGTTCTCGTGGGTGTTGATTACTGTAGGCAATTACTAGGTGCTTACAAAGCTGGGTTCCCCTGAACCGGCTCGTTAATTGAGCAGTGGGTTCTCCGGAAACTCTGAAACTGCTGAATTCCTCTGCTTGGTGTGCACCAGCATGTAATCCACACTAACCTGCCGAGTGGGCGCCGGGGCGTTCGCCCTCCCTGCTGAGCCGTGGAGGCACGAGATCTCTCCTCTGGCCTTGGGTGCCCGTGCAGCTTTTGTATCAAGACGCGCAGCAAACATCCAACTCTGATGCCTTAAACAAAGTGAGCTCGCTGGAAGCAGGGGTACCTCTGATTGCAGCAATAGGCCTTAAAACAGTCTGCTCCAGTGAGGAAAGGATGATTAGATACCAGGCTGGGAACTTGTGTTCTCTTTGTCTGCTCCAAACACGTCCTAGGGAGCGGGTAGGATACGCTTGTACTTTCTGAGCCCATGGAAACACTAACCGTGTCCTCGCTAACACTCTCTCAGTAGCTCTTGCGTAGTCTCTGCTCTGCTAACCGGCCGGCGCGCTACGTGTGGTGGCTGCGGGTACGGAGCGCTGCTGCTGCTCACCTCAAACCGGACAAGTGTTGTGGATCCCCCCCCAGTTTGTGCAGGCCACCACCCCCAGGAAGGTAGCGTATCCTCAGGACTCCAACTGGGGGCTGGTTGCAGGCAGAGGAACACCGGGGCGGGTGGAGGTTGTGCTCTAGGGCCTCTGCCAGCCCTTCTCCTTGCAGTGCTGCAGGCCGAGGGGGATTTGATCGGTGGGTGTGTGCAGTGGCAGACTGTGCGGAGTGTGCGCTGAGGCTCATCGCCTCCCCGAGCTCAGCAGCTCTTCTGGCCTCCTTCTACACCTGACAGGACTCGCTTCCAGCCCTGCCTTGGAGATGACACAGAGCACGTCCCGTGTTCTCTGCGTCGCCTTATGCTCCAGTTCTCCCAGTTGTAACTGGGGGCCCGTCACACCCGCTGGCAATGCTCGGGGTGGCAGCCAGGCATCCTGACTGCGAGTCAGATACAGCTGATTCTTGGTGAGGGGCTGCCTTGGTCATCCTACCCGGGAGGATTTCACCTCTCCTATTCTAAAGCTTTTTAGTTTTAAAAGCATTAGCTCAGCTGGAAACATTTTGAATCCCCCCCCAGCCCCGGCCCTGTGCAGTATTTTGTAGGTGTCAAGGCACTGAAAGGTTCAGATCCCACCGAAAGGCAAGTCTTGGAGCCACAGGTGGCCTCGCCGCTCTTGGCAGCGCTGCTCTTAGTCCTTTCCTGCCACATGTCCTCCTTCCAGCAGATGGCCCAGAAAAAGCCCCGTCCAGGTTGTGTGTTAACTTGCTCTCCACCCCCTCGTGTTGCAACATGTCAGTAGTCATCAGAGGAGAAGGGTAAATAGCGTTAACATCAGGTACAGATGCAAATATTTAGCTTTTCAGAACACTGCTCCGAACACTCTGTCAGCAGGCACCGGGGAGCAGGTTTTGCCCTTCTCAATCTGACCTTGAAAACGGAGCCTGGTCTTTGCTCTGCTCCGGGGAACAGCCCCAGCTCCTTTGAGCTTTGGGAGACTTTCTTCCACCCAAAACGCTGTTTCAGCTCATGATTGGATTGTTCCCTGGAGGTCTGAAATAAAATGATCTTAGCAAACCACAACTGTAAAGCTCTTTGTGCAACTTTCCCCGTCTGCATCAAATGATTCTTAAACAGCTAATGGCCCCGACTTTGGCAAGTTACCACAACACTGAGCGCTCTTCCTTCTCTTAACTCGCTCTCTTCTGCTTAAGTGGCTTCCGTAGCGCGCACAGGGAGGCTGGGTCTGGAGGAGGCAACCTCTGTCTGTCCTGCTGCTCTCCTCTGCGGGGAAAAAGAGCGGAGGTGAGAAGTCCCCGTTAGTACCCCTGGTGTCACCGGCCAAGTGAGCTTTGTCACCGCTGCCACCGCCGCCTCCTCGCTGCTGCTTCACAAGAGCAGAGGGAGCTGGGTTCACGGGCGGGCGTTGATCCCACCCGGCCTTGGGGGGCAGGGGAAAGTGCTGGTCCTGTGGCACAAGCCAGGGCAGCCGGGGTAGGTGCCACGTTCGCTGTCTCTCCTGGCCCCTCTGGTGCCACTCGGAGCATCCCTGCAGCCAGGGACTAGCAGTTCAGCTCTGGGTGGCTCTTTGGCACGTCCCTGCCAAAGCAGAGGCTCCCAGTTTTGCCCCACGTGCTCCCCCCCACTCTTCAGAGGGTTTGCAGAAGAGCTGCAGTCTCAGTCCCTGCACAGAATGTGCTTTGCTCTCAGCTGCTCCCCCAGTGTAAGAGACAAGCCCAGGCTTGGTGCTGGGGGCTCTGGCTCCGGGGGAAGGGACCCACTGGGTTTTTCCTGCTGGTTTTGCCCTGTGCATTGCGGGTGATTCCCAACTCCCCAGGGCACAGCAGGGACTAGATGGCGCAGTCGGGCTGGGACCAGCCCTTGCTCAGCCCAGTGCCCTTCCTTGGAGGCTCTACCCACCCCTGAGCTCTGCTGGGGTGGCCCTCGGGCACCCTTCCCCTGCTGTGAGACGCCTGCCACCGCACAGGGCTAGAGCCAGGGCGGCCCAGGGCAGGTCTGAAGTGCAAAGACCACTCTGCAAGGGCGCAGCCGAGCTCTGCCCTCGCCCTTCCTCTGGCCAGGATTATCCGTGACTCCTCTCTCGGCTCCATGGGGCCTTGGGAGAGGGAGGCAGAGCTGCTGGAGTGGAGCGAATCCATGCTGAGGGCAGGTAGTCACCCGGGTATTCCCAAAGGGATATACCAGCCTTCCCTTGAGATGAAACCCGGCTTTCCTGCTGGGAAGAGCAAAGGTCTGCTCTCGCCTTCTGAGGCTGGTGGTAGCACAGAGGCAGGTGACACCACACTTGTCCCCGAAGCCCTGAGGACCCAGCGATGTGACAGGCAGGGGCAGCGTGCCCAGGGCGTGCTTCTCCCCGTGGTTCTGAGCACGGCAGCGAGCATCCTTCCTTCCCGTTTGCTCCGGATTATCTAACGCTCCCTGTTTTTGGAGTACTCCCGTCAGTCTCTTATAAAATGTGCTCCTGCTTGTTGCAGATACTTGGCAAATAGGTCAAAAAGGCACACTCTGGCAATGACCAACCCTACAGCTGAAATCCCTCCAGACTTGCAGAGGCAGCTAGGACAGCAGTCCTTCCGACCCCGGGCTTGGGCTCCACACCTGGTCCCCGATCAGCACCGGTGAGTAATGGCACCGGCCGTTCGGGCAGCTTTGCGCCAGGAAACCTGCTGAGATGTCGTCTGGAACGGAGCACTGAGGACATCCCGCTTGGCAGGGAGGGGTGAGGAGGAGGAGGAAGGAGTGCGAAGAGCAGACCCGCAGGGTCTGGCCACGCTGGGGACACCAGTTCCACGCTGGCGCGGGCTCCGTGCCTAAAATCCAGGCAACGCAGGGGCAGGAGTCGGCTGGCTCTTCCCCTCCGGCCCTGGTTGTGTGGCTGGAGGGGATTTGCCAGAGTGGCTGCTTCACATAAGGGTTGGGAATAAGATCCTCACTTTAAAGGAGAGCTTTTCTCTTGTAATGGTAGGTGTCAAGCAGTAGAGAGCAGATTTTCCACAGGACATTTTTGGATTGGGCAAAAGACTGCACCAAGAGCTCATCTACACCAGAGCTTAGAAACCTCACTGTTCTGCACCAGAGTTGTGTGTTTTGACTGCAAAGTCTCTTTGCAAAGCTCCTCAAGAGTCATTTTATTTCTGATCTGAACCCCTGATGGGAACGACGTGGGGGGAAGGACATTGGGGGGGAAGGACATTGGGGCGGGAAGAAAATCACAGTGTGTTGGATGGAGGGAACGGATGCGGATTCGCTCTAATCACCCTCAAAATGGGCAGGTGGGGCACTCCTGATGGGGAGAGGTGTTAATTTGACATAGAGTCCTCCGTCCAGCAGCAGATCTGGAGATGTTAAGGCCAGAGAGGGAGCTTAAAGCCCGTGCTCTGACCCTCCGGGAGCGTGAACCAGCTGCGAACTGGGGAATTTGGTGCCTCTTGGTCCCGGCTGGGCCGGTGCCGGGGCTCCCGCTGGTGAGCTCGACAAAGCCCTTTTTATTGTCGCCAGAGACCTGCTGAGCTGAGCACTGATGTAATCAGCAGAGGCAGGTGAACTCTGAGCAGACCCAGGCAGTGCTAGTGCCACGCTGGAACTCCGGAAAAGCCAGATAAGCCCCTCTCTCTACCCTGAAGTTACCCCCTTGCGGAGGAGCCGGGGGGATGGGGAGAGGGTTCCAGGGTCACAGGAAAGCTTGGTAGGAAGAGGAGTGCAGCAAAACAACCCGAGTGTGCTGGGTCCTGCTTTAAGGGCTGCTTGGGGCTGGAGAGGTAAGCCAGCTGACTCAGGCTCTGCAGGAATCGATTTTTTACGAGGCTGTTAAAACGCACTCGCCCTGTGAGTGTGCTGGTGTCACCTCTGCCTCTTGGCTTCGGCGTCCCGGGGCTGGTTTGTTGCATCACGACCAGGGTGGCATCTGCTCCTTCCACCCTCGGTGTCATAACGCTCTGTGAGCATCGCGTTTTACCTGGGAAATGGCAGGAGCTTCATGGGGCTGTGGCTGCACAGATCGCCCCGGGTTGTGTCCAAGACACAGAAACCATCACCACTCCTGTCATCGCCTAAGTAGCCCTCAGTTACAGGATGGCAGGTGGATTTTATTTTAGCACTTAATGTATTTTAAGCCATCTTCTCATGTGGTACCCGGTTTTGGTCCTGATAACTCGGTGTCTGAAAGCAGAACTGAAGTACAGCAGTCGCAGAAGGCGGTGCAGTTGCTCTGCCCCGGCCACGTAGGTTTGGGAACCTCAGCAGAATTTTATCTGGGGCTTCTGCTTCCCATCAGTGCAACCAGGAGATCAGATGGGTCAGGATAACGCGGGGGCACAGCTCTGTCCTTGGCAGAAAGCCCTGTGTAACCTATAGAAACTGAAGCACGTCCTGCTCTGGCGGAGCACGTGACAGGAGCTGAACCCAGGGCGCTGGGCGCGGGCCAGGGGCCGTCACCTCCTGATAAGGGGGAGCCTCTCCAGGAGAAACAGTTTCGCTTCGTGGAAAAAGGCAGAGAGCCGTAGCCAGGGCTGTAACTCACCCGAGCAGGGGGGTTCAGGAGCCTGGCAGCAGCACTGGGGTGTCAGAGGTGCTGTGAGGACCACGAGTGTGTACCATTAATTATTGTTCTATAAGCATTGCATCTATAGATGGCACAGAAACCATTGGGGCAGGCAGGGGACCCCGGTTCTGCTGGCCGTAGGGCGCAGCAAGGTGTGTACGGAGCCTTGCCTCGGCTCACGATCACGGGTCACACCTCATGGCAGGGCAGGAGCTCGGTGCTTGGCTTCGATAATGGGGAGGGAGCCCCAACTCTGGCAGAAAACAGCTCCTGAAAAAAAAAAAACGTGGCTCCCTCTGATGGTGAAGAAGAGACTCATTGTGAAGGGAGAGCGCTGGCAGCACCGCAGGCACAGTTGCCTCGATACTGGCCGTGGCTGCTTTTCAAATGGGGCCATTCCCATCGCCCAGTGCCCAGCATCCAGGCAACTGGGAGACTCTGCCTGTGAAGTGACAGCCTGGTTAATGCCTTAGATTTCCCCTCTTTTTTTTCTTTTTTTTTTTTCTTTTTTTTTTTTTTTTTTTTATCACTCTGCTTAAGACCTGTCTGCATGGCAAAATTAACATGAAACATGCAAGGCTTCGTTTTTCAACTGGAAGATATAGTCTGCTTAGAGCAACTCTCATTTGACTTTGATATTTTCGTTCTAGCAG